CTGGGCTGGGCTGGGCTGGGCTGCGCTCGGGGGCGGGCAGTGGTGGTGTTGGGAGCAGGGCTATGGCAAATTTTCAGGTGGCTGGAAGCCCCCCCAGCCCTCTCCCAGTGCTACCACCACCCGCCCTCGGCGCAGCCCAGCCCGGCCTCCCACTAGGAAGAGCTCAGCACTGCCCTGGCCCCAACCTACCCTCACCCCATGCAGACTGGGGGACACGCCCGCCCCATGCCCCCATGCATGTAGTGGCAGGAGCTGCACCTCCCCTCCCCGTGCCCCACAGGCGAGCTGTGGCTCCGTCCCACGCCCCGCCCCAGCTGTGCAGCTCCTTCCCCAACCCTACTCCCTCCCTCACTGCAGGGGCCTCGATCTGCACCCCCCCATGCCGCTTCCCTCACCCCTTCCCCCACAACAGACTTTACCAGCCCAACGCTGCCTGGCTGCATATCGGCTGTTGGATTGTTACTGGCAGATATGGCTCTTTAAAAATCGGCTATCGGTATCGGCCCAAAAAATCTCTTATTGGTGTACCCCTAGAATTTTTTAACTTGAGCAGTGTGATTTCCTTAACATTGTCCTCAGAAACAGCTGAAACATTTTGGCAAAAATTTAAAAAAAAATCTGCCTGAGGCAGACACCTGTCATGGAAAATTTCAGCCCTAACAAAGCTTGATAAAGTTATAAGCAACTGAAAGTGGTTTCATAGTGAGAAGTGTTGGTCAGCCTTAGAAGTAGGTGGTGCTGCCAGGCCCATCAAGCATAAGGCACTTTGATGAATAGGCATAAAGGTGAGGTAGAAATACTATGTTGTGACGTCTGCTTTGTCTTCTGCAGCCAACAACGAAACTGTTTATTGATGGAAAGTTCATTGAGTCCAAAGCTACTGAATGGATCGATATCCACAACCCGGTAAGTTAAATGTTCTCCTCTGCTGTGATCTAGAAGAGACTGCACCTCTCTCGCACCTCTCTTGAGTCTCTTGGCAAGATGCAGGGAGTGAGTGCCTTGAGAGAGGTGTAGAGTGGAAACTTCCCCCGACTGCCTCCCAGTTGCCTTCTGTGGTAAGAACTCCACGAAGTTAATGGCAGTCCCATGTTGACTTTGCCTCCAAGAGAGCTTTCTAACCAGCACATCCAGTTACCGAAGGATTCTTGTCATATGTGGTTTGATATAACCCTCTGTGTTGTAATCTTTTATGATTTGCTATACCTCAGAAGTGACAAAAACTGGGATCACCCCTCATGTCCAGAAGGAAGACATTATCATGACTGGAATCAAGTTCCTCTTTCTTCTATGGACACAGCTGCCGGCTGTGAGCCATGAAATTCTCAGTGAACGTAGATGTTAAGTAATGTGTTGGATGCAATTTCACTGTAAATCTGGAATCAAAATAGTTAAAGGTTGCTCCTGTGTCAACCACCAAGGGGTAGATACAGTTGAAACTGTCTGAAGGAGCATCCGGCCTGACACTCACAACAGATACACCCATCAGAAATTACCAAACTTTTTTCCATGACATCCCATTTTGATGCATTCTTTATTTCACTGTCACTGTTGAGAGTGATCAGAGCACAGAGGCCTGTTCATGAAAGCTCAATCAGCCCACTGAGTTCATTGTGTCTGGTGATGAGATTTGCCCCCTGCAGGGCAGCTCACACTCTTGCTTGAGTTTCTGGTTGCTGTGAGTGCTTAATCTCTCTTTCTTTCTGTGATGTAAATGTTGATCTTTGCTTTGTCAAAATAGATTTAATTTTTACAAAAGTCTATATTAAAAAAAGGTTACTCTTGCAAAGGCAAACATACAGGCTGCCTATACAAATGCTTTGGGGTGAGGGGTGCATTTTAATTAGAGGAGTTCCCAGATAGCAGCTCTAGTTAAAATGGCTGTTGGAAAACTATCTAAAACTTATGTGATAAGGTTTAAATAAAGTGCCCCTGCAGCCATTTTAAAATGTGCAGGGTCTTAATACGCATGATGGTGAGGCGGTGCTGGAGCATTCTAATTAGAACGCAAATGAGTATAAAGGCAGCCTCAGAGTCTAGGCTATTCTGGAATGAAGGTTGTTCATCCAGTCCTAATTCTGCAGGGTTGGCCATCTGAATTATGAAGCAGTCTTTACATAATCATGTGCTACTACTCCCAACGACCCCGTCTCATCCAGTACACAGGAGGGTTAGGAGATAAGCCAAGGTTGTAGAGGGCTGTCTGTGGGACCCCTGCCTTATCCACTGCAGAAGCTGAAACGTGTAAGTGAGTGAAGCTGGGAGATCAGAAAAGTTAAAGCACTAAATGATACTGGACCAGAAAAATGGGTTCTGTCACTGAACTGGTTACAGTCACTTAGGTAAGTCACTTAAAGCAAAGGGATCAGAAGTGGCTAGTGACTTAGTTTTCTCAGTTCCCCATTTGAGATGCCAATAACTTAATTTTTTTTTTAGTACTGCTCAACACTCATAATTCCAGTTCAGGCTCTATCCTATGGGTGTGCAAGGCAGGAATCTCTTCCTGACAGTGGGGAATTGCTAAGTACATTTCCATTTCAGGAGAAGGATATTGGGGCAGCTGTGTGTGAATGGACCATTGAACATTTGAGAGACATGGCTGGAGGAGGAGGAGTCTTATTCTTAATGTGTTTTACTATTTCATCAGGCCACAAATGAGGTGGTTGGCCGTGTCCCAAAGACCACATCCAGCGAGATGGAGGCAGCCGTGAATTCCTGCAAAAAAGCATTTTGGAATTGGTCAGAGATGTCTGTTTTGAGCCGTCAGCAAGTCTTCCTGCGTTACCAGCAGCTCATCAAGGACAACTTGGTGAGACTCCTACAGATGTGCCTAAGGGTTGTTGCTGAGTGCCTAGCAGGTTCCATAGTGTTTTCTTAGCTCATGGTAGGGCAGGGCTGCCTGGGCATATGAGTTAAATGTGAGGGGTGGAGGAGGAGGGACATTATGTATACTCTTGGAAGAGATAATATTATACTCTCTAGGCCTATGAGGGCACAGGAATAGTGCTGCCTGGGGATAGAGGGCAGGCAAATCCCTGTTTTTATTTTCCAGTGAGGTTCCATGGAATCCAGAAGCTAGATGGAGAGTTTTCCAGTCAGTGCAAAGAAACGAAAGAAATATCTAAACGAGAAATACTCTCCTGGGCTTTTCAGTTTCCTTTTCTTCTTCCTCAGATTCCCTGACTGGGGCACTGAAATGCTGGGGGATTCAAATCAGCTCCACAGCTGTCGTTGTCCAGATTAGAACATTTCCCTTTCTGTAGGTGACTGGCTTCTTACCTGGGCTGCAGCACATAATGAACAAGTAGCAAGTTGGGCAGTGTTCCCTTTCCAAGCCCCTCTCAGCTGATGCATTTACTGTGGCATTGGGAAACAGCCTGTCCTACCCCGGCCACTTTTCTTATCTTTTCCATTTCCAGAAAGAAATTGCAAAACTGGTCACCTTGGAGCAAGGGAAGACCCTGGCTGATGCTGAGGGAGATGTGTTCCGAGGCCTCCGTAAGCTGCTGGCTCCTTTTAAATGGGGCTTTCAGACTTGTCCTTTCCTGAAAGTTTTGCTGAGCAACAGGGGCTCTAAGGCTCTAAGAAATTTATCCCCTTCAGAGTTTCTATATCAAGGAAGAGAACCAGCCTGAGTTAGCTCTGTATGAAAAAGCTCCCATGTGTCCATTTTCTTCTCACCATTTCAAAGTTGCTGACCCCTTCTCCCTGCATCCTATGCAGACTCCTTGTGTTTTCCCATGGATTGGAAAATCTCTTGAATGTGCACAGATATTTGAGTATAAGGTCTTGTCCATACTGGGTCACTTCTGCTGGCAGACAGCAGCTACCATGGTGTTCGTGTTCAGGCAGCTTCTGGTGGCTCCACTTATAAGCTGTGCTGGCTAGGTTTGAAATGCATCTTGGCAATGCACCAGCAGCTGAAGGGACCACAGCAGCTGGAAGTAGGTGTAGGTATAGGTATGTCTACCTGAACATGCTGCTGGTGGTGTCAGAAGCCATCTTTTGCTTAGAGCGGTGGTATTACCTTGCCAACAGAAAAAGGAAAGGAGCTGGCAAAACCTTGAAGACTAAACCAGGCTTCAGTGCCTGATGGAGTCTTGCCACCAACTCTGAAATGCTTTCCCAGGGGCAGTCCTATGAAAGTTCGGGAATGTTTAATGTACTGAGGAGAGGATCCACATAAATGCAGCTTAAAGGTGCTTGGCAAAGCAGAAGGTGTTTGTGAAATACAGTGGCTGTATATTGAGAGGAGAGGCTGGAAGAGAGAGTTGGGTTATGGCAGAGATGAAAAGGGAGTTTGTGGGTTGTGGTAAACAGGAAGTTGCCCAGTAAGTAGCTCATTGCCTTTTTTTTGTTTGTTTCAGAGGTGGTTGAACATGCCTGTAGTGTGACATCCCTAATGCTGGGAGAGACCCTGCCTTCTGTCACTAAAGACATGGATACTTACACCTACCGTCTGCCTCTGGGAGTGTGTGCAGGGATTGCACCATTCAATTTCCCAGCTATGATTCCTCTCTGGATGTTCCCCATGGCCATGGTATGTGGAAACACCTTCTTGATGAAGCCATCAGAGCGTGTGCCAGGAGCCCTCATGTTCCTTGCCAGGCTGTTTCAGGATGCTGGTGCCCCTGATGGAACTCTAAACATTATCCATGGGCAACATGAAGGTAAGTGTAGGCAAGGTTGCTGGGTTTGCTAAAAAAATATATGGGAGTTTTGGGATCATTGGAGATGTTGGGTGTCTACTGTTATGACGGGCATGTAGGACCAGAAAGCACCTGAGGAATGTGAGCAGCAGGTGAATCCAGGTAAATGAAAGGCTGATGCCAAAGGCTAGAGCAGAGATTGGCACTCTCTGGCATGCATTCCAGAGCATGGTACATGAAGCCATTTTGCTTGGCACATCATGGCAGGCCAGGGCTCTGGGCAGGTGCTGCCAGCCACATAGCCTGGGTTGTTCTCAGCAGGCAGCTGGGAGTCTGCAAGCCCTGCTGCAAACAGTTCAAGCTCCATGGCTGGCAGCAGCTACCCAAAGCCTGGGCCAGCTGCAGGGGTGGCACCAGCTTCTTCCCGGCATCGGGGGGGCTCCAGGAGGGCTGCGCTGCAGGCAGGAGCGGGGTGGGCTCAGCTGCACAGAGTGGGTGGTGGCATCCCAGGCAGCACTGGAGGGGGTGGCTACAGGGGGGAAGAGGGTTAATTTTGGGGTGGCTTTAGCTTCCTCCCCTCCCCCCAAGTCCCCATCTAGCGCCATTCCTGCAGGCTCCAGAGCCCCAGCTGGGCTTTGTGCCAGCAGGTGCTGCGCACGCCCCTCTGGGCAGATGGCAGGGGAGGGTCCTGAAGCAGCACAACCCCATGCCCCTCCCCCACCATCCACTTTGAAGTGCACATGCAGTCGCGGCCAGTGTGGAGCTGATGCTGGCACTCTGGAGCCCTGGCATCAGCTCTGTGCTGGCAGCAACTGCACATGCACCTCGGGCCACAAGCAGGGAAAGGGCTGGGGCAGTGCATGCATGCATGCCTCCATGTGGACAGCAGTGGAAGGGCCAGTGTTGCACTGCCTCAGCCCCTCCCCCACCCTGTGCCTTAAGGTGTGTGTGCTGTCACTGCTACCACAGGACTGATGCCAGGACTCCAGAGCCCTGGCACCAGCTCTGCACTAGCAGTGACTGCACGCATACCTCGGAGTGGATGATGGGGGAGAAGCCTGGGGTGTGCACAGCAGCCTCTGGCGCAAAGCCTGGCTGGGGCTCTGGACCCCACAGGGACAGTGCTAGGGAGGAGTTTGGGGGGCTATAGCCCCAAAAATTTGCCTTAGCCTCCCCTCCAGTACCCCCCGGGCTGCCACTGCCCACACCACTCAAAGCCCAGCCCCACACTCAGGAGCACTGCTTCGTTGCAGGCTCAGCTGCATCTTGCAGGCAGCAGCAGCACTGGAGGGATGGCTATGGGGGGACTAAGGTGAATTTTGGGGAGGCTACAGCCACCCGCAGGCCCCAGCCTAGAGCTGCCTCTGCAGCTGGGTGATGGGCAGGCTCCAGGACAGGGCCTCGGCAGCACACACTGCAGCCCGGGGCTGGGTCCCTGGGAAAGCACGGGCTGTGGCGGGCCCAGGGCATCATGAGGTTGGACTTTGTCCTGTGGCTCAGCGGTCCAGCTCTGTGTGTGTGTGTGTGTGTGTGTGTGTGTGTGTGTGTGTGTGTGTGTGTGTGTGTGTGGG